ATTTGTTAGGTACCTACTGGTCCTACTGCCAGCAACGGTTATAATATTTCAGTCTGCTGCTGGTTTGATAAATTTGAAATTTTGGTATTTCACTCGAAATAATATTATTATATTATTATATTATTATATTAAGTGTTTTCTGTCTTTGGCATGCTTATATTGTTTGTATATATATTTTATAAAATAATATCATGTACGATATATTTTTAAAATAAAATCCCAACATTGAGTTGTATAAAAAATATAATATGTAATAGGCTGCTATAAGTGCCTCTATAATGACGACCAGTCACAATTCTCAAAAAACTATTACATACATTAATAGGTACGTCGTATGTGTACATATTATATAGAGGTATGGGTTATTAAGGATGATACGATCATGGATCATTGTGCGGTTATTTCGAACGGGAGAAGTATGAGTATGCTTGCGTAAGTCGTCGGAGTTGTGGGTGGGAAGGGTTGACGAATGCGTGGAATAAATTAGACGCGGCGTGCAGTGGCAGAGGGACGGAAAAAAAATGATCTTGGGAAAGTTCTACGACCAAATTACCTGAATGGCCCTCGGGGTTTGGTTTTCCTCTTATTATTCGGAGGAAAGAGGGGAAAAAAACTCGTCTGGTCCAAAACGATTGCCTCTCACGTTCGGCTTATCCGGCTGTCGAACACGTTTCGCGGGTCCGATCGAACGCCATTTCTCACGCGGAGCGGCGCGTCTACGGCCGACGGCGGAACACGTAATTTATATATATATATATATACAATAATACGAGACCGCAAGAGACAAATCGAATCGTTTATACCAATGACACATACCCCTTTGTTCTTAATACCGACACTGATCGGTTGAGTATACAGAGCAATATATATTATATAATATTATACCAATATTGCAGTACCTATATATATATATTATTAATAATAAATATAATATGGCCGCCGGGTGGACGTAGGTGGGTAGGTACCCACAACTATAGAGGTTTGAACTATTCGTGGATACAATTTGTCATATGATTTCCACGTTTACCCTTACACATCAACACGTAGGCAGCTCGTTTAAAATAATACCTAATATTACAAAGTATAATATTATAGTATAGTTTAAAATAAAATCTCGTTGAATATTACAATATGTAAATCGTTCCCTTTCATTTATTTTCAATCTAAAAGTTTTTTTTTCTAAATCCTAATACCTTATATCGTATTTTATAACAATAACAAAATTTCTTAGGAAGTATGTATGTATAGTTATAATGTGTGATATAAATATAATATTTATTGATGGATGGGTGGATCGTATAATAATGCTTTAAAACAACTATACAAGCCAGGATCGAGAAGGTACCTACGGTCCCGAGGCTCCGGGATCTTTTTCTAAAATAGTATTTTGTTTAACGCAAAACATAAAATATTAAAAAAAATAAAATATGTCATGAAAATATGGTCAAGTTTGTTAGTTGAGACTTTGAGAGTTTTGAATAACRTGTTTCACTGTTTCAGTGTAATATGTAGGTATACCTACACATTATTACCATGCAATAATTAACAATATGAATATATATTCAATTATGAATTGAAATTAGATGTTTTGTACATATTCGTATTATAAGGTAATAATTTATTTTTATAGATTATACATAATTATATTGCTAATCTTATTATAATTGTTTATCGTTGTAAACTGTAAATAGGCGATGTTAAACAAATTTAATATCCAACCTTAAAAATAATTATTAAATTKAGAATGGTTGAAGTTTGAGYGTTGATGGGAGGCCCACTTATAAGTTTCTGTTGGTGTTTCGAGTCCTGTATTAGATCTTAAATCCKGGCTTGTATGGTAGTAGGTACTATTATCTATACATGTTATGACATCTACGTATGAATAAGTAWTTTAATACAACAGTTAAAAACTAATATCAAATATTTTATAATAAAAGTTTCTTAACTAGGTATGATACTATAAGATGCTGCTTAGACTCTTATTAGTTATAATAAAAGCTGAAATGTTTAGTTAATTTTTGTTAACTTGAAAGTTCGTTTTATGAAATTTGATATGAAAAAAGGCGTTGTGGCATCGAAGCCCATAATTTTAAATTAAATTACCAGTACAATTTAATTAATAACATAGGTTTTAACTAACGTTCAAAGAATATAATTTAAAGTAAGTCTAAAAGTTTAATATTAACTTCTAATGGTATAGGTAGGCAGTAGTGACATTTTAGGCAAGGGCGGGGTAGGTATTTACATCGCCTTGTCATTAGCGGCCGTTATCGGGCCGGGTATGGGCTGGTGTCGGTCTAGTATTGGGCCGCAAGCCCACCACACATGATTTATGTCATTACTCATTACCAAATAAAATTTTACCATAATTCGTAGCTCATGCTAATACATAAATATAATTATAGGGTACCTGTTTATTATGTATATTATACCTACATAATACAAGAATAATAATCTATGACACGGTTGTAGATAGTAAAGTATATATGCAACCCTGATTTATGGTGCGTTCAGTGTTGTGTGTTATTAGGGTGAGTATTTAACAGGTTAGGTTGTGTTTGGTTTAGATTAGTTAATGTTTGACATTTCAATTATATATATATCAGTAGAAGACTAT